TCTCTCTCTCTCTCTCTCTCTCTCTCTCTCTCTCTCTCTCTCTCTCTCTCTCTCTCTCTCTCTCTCTCTCTCTCTCTCTCTCTCTCTCTCTCTCTCTCTCTCTCTCTCTCTCTCTCTCTCTCTCTCTCTGCACAACACAACCTTTGTGTTCACGCGCTTTAAGGAAACGGACGTATATGCGTCCAGGTGAGCGTTTGGCCAGGCACACATCGCGCGCTCTTTCTCTCGCGCTGATACAGCGTCCACCGCACGCTGCAGACTTTGTTAACACGCGCGCACACACTCCTCCGGTCGGTCTGTATATACGCAGCGGCATCACATCCGTCCCCCTCCTGTACGCGGCTTCCCTTGCCCTGTTTTGCGTCCACCTCCCTCTCTCTCTCCCTCGCTCTGCATATTGCTTTCATTAGACATCTCTGCATCTCTCTCTCTCTCTCTCTCTCTCTCTCTCTCTCTCTCTCTCTCTCTCTCTCTCTCTCTCTCTCTCTCTCTCTCTCTCTCTCTCTCTCTCTCTCTCTCTCTCTCTCTCTCTCTCTCGCACACACACACACACACACACACACACACACACACACACACACACACACACACACACTCCTCCCTCCATCCCAGAGCCTCTTGTCCGGCCCCCCTGATCTCTGTGTCCATTGGCTTCCAATGGGTCTATTTCTCATGTCCAGCCCCCCTCCCTCCCTCCATCCTCCACTCCTCCGTCCCCCTCTCTTTCGTTCTCTAATGACCGTCCATTGGTGTGGTTCTTGCGCGTCCCGTCCGTCCCTCCTCCCACTCCCACTCCCACCCGGGTGCGTCGGCCCTGCCCATGTTTTTGTATGTCGGGTGTCCGTCCACCGCCTGACGTTCAAGTTCGCCAGGAACGTCACGTCCGTGCACTTGAACTTGCACGGCTCAGAGGGGGGGTTGAGGGGGGAGGGGGGGTGGGGGGGGCTTTTGCCATTTTTTTCCATCTCTCTCCCCTTCTCTCTCTCTCTCATCTACCTCTCTCTCACTCTCTCTCTCTCTTTTCTCTGCTCTCCTTTCTCAAAAAAGCCATGACGGCGATCCTGCGATCCATCTTCGCCTCCGCGCCATCTTTGTATTATTTCTAATTTATTTTCTTTTCCCCCCCCCTCCTTGTGGATGTCAAGGCGTTGGATGAAGATATTTTTTGCCCCACTGGAGTCTCCTCTCTAACCCCGGCTCTCCCCGATGTGATCCACGCTGAACGCCGCCGCCAGCCACCATGTCTCGCCGCAAGCAAGGAAAGCCCCAGCACTTAAGCAAACGGGATTTTTCGCGTAAGTAGAGATGAGAAAAAAAGAATGACAAATGTCACTTCTGACTTTCATTTCATTCAGCAAAGATGGGGAGGGGGGCAGAACAGGAGCTTGTGTGGACACCGGACGTACCGCTTGGATCCAAGCGGTCAACTGGACTTAACAGTGTGGAGAGAACGTGCGACACCTCTGTGCGTAAAAAAGCCGCTCGGAGATCCCCAAAAACCACGAAAGAGAGAAAAAAGTTTTGTGTGTGTGTCGGTAAACACCCGTTACTGCTCCTCTGTTACACGGAGAGAACGTGCACTCGCAGGCTGTTCAGTGCACTCGCTTGTGGCTCCGTTGCCCCCCAAGTCGCTCCGGTCAGTGGAAACGCGCAGGGCTCCCGGTAGCAGAGAGCGTCCTCTCCTCGGAGCTTCGTGGATAAATCCCCTCACGGAATATATCGCTGTCCGGTAGCTCTGCGGGCAGGTTTTTTCATCTGCTCTCTTGTTCTATTTTTGGATTATTTTCAGAAAACAACAAAAAAAAAACACAAAAACTTGGAGGGGAATTTTTGGATCGATTAGGAAAAAAAATCTGGTGTCTGCCTCCTGCCTCTCAGCAGCTCGGTTTATTTTCACACACTTATACAAATCCTGATGTCTCTTATATTAATGTTTTTTCGCCGTTTAGTCTCGTTTAGTATCTTTGTGTCTTTAAAAAAACAACAACAGAGCTGCAGCCGAGTTAAAGACAAGAAAAACAGCAACAGGACAGCAGCATATTTAGTCGTATCGGGGTTAATTTTCTCTTATGATGTCCCATTTGAACCAACAAAAATATCCAATTTAGGATTCTAAACCTCCTCGTACAGTTAAGGTAAGGCACACATGTCAGCTCATTGGTGTGTTGCAGCTGCAGCGTGTGTGGAAAAGCGAACGAAATTCCAACAATGTTTAGTTGAGTCTGGAGTATTCCTTTAGGCACGGCGTTTATTTATCACCGAAGCTTTATTTATTCTGGTTTATTAGACGCGTAAGTGTGATATGTGCTGAGTGAGTAGATGAGGGTGTTTGGAAAGTGCGGAGCAATTGGCAAAGCGGGGCTTATCGCGGTGCCATGTGCCGCACTGTGTGACACCTCGCAGCGTTTAGTGTCTCTCTAAGTGGCCCGCAAACATAAAACAAGAAGATATTTGGGAATCTTTACGCATCGGTGCTTGGTTGTGTTTCGGTATGTTGACTATAGCTGTCGCCTGAGTTGTTTGGTTTGGAGAGTGTGTGTGTGTGTGTGTGTGGCCCCGGCTGGGTGACAGCGCAGTCACCATGTCCATGTTCCGTCGCTAGGAGGCAGACCGCGATCAGAAAATCCAGCGCTGATCTTGAACCTGATCAGTTTCATTGCCACCCCTTACGTACACGGGCTAGTATTTGGCGATCTCTTTAGAAAAAAGTGAGAGCGTACAAGACATGTGGGAGGAGAGGGAGCAGGAGGAGACGCCTCCCCCCAACCCATCTAAAAATCCGCAATTCCTCTTCATCACATCAAACCGACCTCCTTACCCTGTATCTCCTTCTTTTGGTGCATCACATTTTTACATACATGCAGGCTGCAATCAGCATATGCAGCTACACTGTTAGAATGCCTGCAGACCCCTTAAACCTCACAGCACACACACACCCCATGCAGATGCACACACACCCCATACACAGGCAGACTTATGCTTTTTATTGAGATGGCTGATTCACATTTGTTACAAATGGAGCACAGAAGCTGGCCTCTCACTCTCAAGCAAACAACAATGCCTTATTCTTTTTAATTTGTACAGCCTGTTAATTCGATTTTCTGTATTTGCTACAATTCTATATTTTTATATGATTATTTAGCACATGTTCAGAGCTCGCTTTGTAATGGCATGATCAGGCTGTATGTAAGTGGCTCAATGCAACACAAGTCTCAGTGTGTTTGTCAGCGCTACATTTCCTCGTCCAGATTAAATTACATTTTCAGTATTTTCCACATTTTTCCAGTATGGAAATATACTTTATTTAGAGCAGAGAGTTCTTCTCTCAGTTAAGTTTTCTAGATTTATCAGAAAGGTTGAACTTTGAACCTAAAGCTTATTAAATGGATGGATGGTAATGGACCCCGACCACTCGAAGCCCTTCACTTTAGACTACATTTATATCTTCATTTTATGTATTATTTTTTGTTTGTTTTGTTATGCATGTTTGTTTTATATATTAATAAGGTGCAAAGACATTATCCTCCTCTCCGCTCCCCAGCCTTAAAAATAGATACAAATCACTACATGCTTCTATTTCATTCAAACTCAACTGTGCAAAATTAAATCCATCAAAATGTTTGTGTTTTTTCAAACCCCGGATACACTCTTGAGTCACTAAGAGGTGAGGGGTTTATGTGGCTTTTCATTAGATTATTATTTTTTGTTTGCCACCGCACAGATGTCGTGCAGGTTTGCGTCGTTCAAATGATATTTCCTTGAGGGGACGGTGTCCATATTCAGAACTTATGTCTCTTTCTCTGGCTTTCTTACTGTCTTTCTCTCTCTCTCTCTCACACACACACACACACACACACACACACACACACACACACACACACGCACTCGTTCATCCCCATGCACACACTCTCACATGCATGCGCAGGAAAACCTATCCCTATTATCAGACAAAATCTGTACCAATCACCGGGACGGTAAAAATGAAAATCTATTTGTTGAGCCTCAGTGGCTTTAACTTCATTCAAAATGTGAAACTGGCGGCTGAATAAAGAAGGTCAACATGCATTAGGCCGGCTATCTCGGAGTCAGACTCTGCTCCTTGGACTGGAAGATAAAAAAAAAGGGGGGGGGGACACATTATATGCTGCTGTTTCGCTTCTCTAATTCGGCGGGCTGCTCTGTTTGCAACTCCTCTCCCACCACATGCGGGATGGTTGGAGCTTGACAAAAGGCGCCTTAAAAAGAGTAGTCAGGAGTTAATCCGGCCTCGGAGGGGTGAAGAATCGGCTCATTTTGGAGGCGATTTCCGGCTGTACAAGTTGCTGGTGTAAGAACTATAAGCGGGGCACGTGTAATCGAGGCAGAGGAAAGAGTTCCCCCTCTCCCTGACACACACTCTCTGTGCCGCCTGTCCTTCCCTTCTCTCTTTCCCCCGGCACATATGTCGGACATGTTTGTGACAGTTTTCCATTCTGACAATTACAGGATCAAAAACCTGCTCAAACAAGGTTAGGCAAGTCAACCATCATCCACATGTTTAGTTTCTTTGGTAAAGGCTGTGTTTAACCATCACTTTTCAAAAGCTTCCCCTGTCATTGGCTATGAAATTGTTATCTTTGAGGAATCTGATTTGAGCTTTCGGAGCTTTTCAGGATATTCTATCCCACCATTTATTCCTGTGATGTGTGATCCAGATCAGCTTGCATTGTAATCATTTCCCTCTACATTACATGCATTCTTTATCATTACAAGGCACATTTTCTCACCCCTTCATTGTGTGTGCGCCACACGTCAGGCTTCTGCTTAGCTTTGCCTCTTGAACTCTGATCCTCTGTGTGATATGTTTTTGTGCACTCTTCTCTTGTCATTTATGCACTAATATCTGTATCAATAGGTCTAGATTACAAGAGACAAAAAGGAAAAATATTAACATGTGGTTTTTCCTTTTGTTGAGAGTAAACGTGACCTTTTCATTTCATCTCTTTTTGCCCCCCCCCTCTCCTCTGCCCCGCTAGCAGCCGAACCCCTCTCCGCAGCCGGCGTCTCGTCGGAGGAGCTGTCGGAGCGCTGCTCGGAGCACTCGGAGGAGAGCGGCGGCCTCAATGGGCACCACCCCGGCTCCACTGTGGGCCGGTTGGCCCGGCTGGGTAACGACGCTCACCCCTCCTTGGAGCAGGACCTCCTGACCTGCGGCCAGTGCCAAGCCACCTTCCCCCTGGCAGACATCCTGCTCTTCATCGAGCACAAGCGAAAGCGATGCCACGGGCCGCCCTGCCTGCCCATGGGCCAGGGGCTGGACAAGCCCCCCTCGCCCTCTCCCGGCCTGGCCCTCACCCCGTCACCTGCATTTGCCGCCCTGCGCAGCCGGAGGCCCGTGGAAGTCGGCGTCCAGGCCACGCTGGCAGACGACGATGACGACCGCTTCTTGTTGCCCCGGGGGATTTGTCCAAAACAGGAGCCCCTCCCAGGTAACCAGACCTGCTTCCACACTTCCACACCCAACCAGCACACGGTTACACGTGGTACCCAAATTAAGAGAGAAAGAGCAACTTTACTGAGGCAGTGGCTGTATCTGCAGAGGATGTCATTGTGCGTGCATGTGTATCAGCTTTTGTGTGAATAAGGTCGAGCTGAATATTCTGTCAGAATATTAAAAATAGATCATAAATGGTTCTTTCCCCCTAAACCTTTTCTGACCCGTGACTCATCGAGGGATAAATCAACTCCTCCAGCTTAAATCAGCTTAAATCATTCTACCTCCAATCGGCACCGTGCCATTTTGAATGTGTGTGTGTTGCCCTGGATGGGTGTGCATTTGTGTGTGTGTGTTTTTTGCGATATCAAGTTTTTTTCTTACATCGTCATCAGACCCCAATGTAGTTGTGTGTGTCGCTCTATGACAAGCCAGCGTAGTATAGCCTACACGTTGCCCCGTGATTGCTGTAGCAGTCTGAGCATAAGGGGACACACACACACACACACACACACACACACACACACACACACACACACACACACACACACACACGCGGCAATCCTTGTTAAGGCAAGAGATCTGATTGGCTGAGACTTGTTTGAGGGGGTGGCATTAAATGGTACGGGAGGTGACTCTTGTCAGACAAACAACAACAGAGGGTCGTCCCAGATGGGGAGGAAACCGGAGAGAATACGCCTCTGCGCTTTTGTTTTTTTACAGCTGGCACAGAAGCAAACACACTGGTTTCATTTAGTTTGACTTTCTCCCTCTGCCTGTGTGTGTGTGTGTATGTGAGACAATGTAGTGGCTCAACCCAAGTCTGAACAATTGTCCTTCCGCCGATCCACCAAATTCAATGCAGACAGTCTGTGAATGTACGTTTTCCCTGTTTGCCCAGTTTGGCCACGGTCATCAAATCCCTCTGGCCAGCAGCAAAGAGACATGGGTCACCTTGAAGTTGTGGTACCACTGGTCAGTGTGTTAGTGGCCTTGTGAGACCATGGTGTGTGTGTGTGTGTGTGTGTGTGTGTTTGCGGATGGAGGATCAGTGGCTGAACTGGATGTCCATGTGTGACTTTCAGTCTGGGGAGTAACTGTAGCCTCCTTTCTGGGATTGTGCGCACAGAATGTGTGTCATTGCATAACACGTGCGTCAGTGTGTGTGTGTGTGTGTGTGTGTGTGTGTGCGTCTCTTTCATGTGGCCTTAGCAGATGTGTCCTGTTCTCAGTGTGGTTTCCCCCCTTCCACTGCCACATCTTACCCGACTTAATGCAGCCCAGCTCTCCATCTCTTTCATTCTTTTCCTCTCTAAGTTTACCTCAGTACCAAACTTCGTAGGTAAAATGCACAATTCTTCAACTCCGGTTTCCATCTCTCCTTTTCCCCGTCCCCCTTTCCCCAGTACAAGAATCAAATGAGAAGGCGAGCGGAATAAGAAGGAGAAGCCCGTTTTTGGTTTTGCTCTTGGAGGGAAAGTCTTTTATTTAAAGCGCCTTAACGCCACTAAATATTTGTTGCAGTGCCATTTTTTTTCTTCTTCCTTGTGCATTTTAATTAGCAGTAGTGTTCGGTGGCGGGCTGCCTGTACTAAATTAGCTGTTACAGAGAAAGGGTGGAGTTGGAGGGGGTGAAGATAAAAAAGAGCAGCGGAAACAGTATATACACTTTATCACTCTGCTCGTTGAATGCAACTCAGACATCTCAAATGTTGCCGTTTGTATTCCATTTTTGAAATACAAACGGCAACAATAAGCTGGTTAAGGCTGTGCTCGTCCATTCCCGTAACTGATCTCACAATGTTGACAGTTATAGGTGGTGGAGATGAGGTTCATTTTTTATTAAAGATGCATTTGACCTTTGACCTATGCCCGCTAGAGACTAACCTATCTACCGTATGTTAGCTGAAAGGAGCAGAGTGCACAAGCAATTTATTTGTTTTGCTCGGGTCTCCGCAGTGACTATATATTTCAACAACCCCCCAAACCCCCCACCTCACGAACACACACTTTCGCAGACACCCACCAGCTAAACTGGGTTATTAGAGCAATTTACATCATAATACAGGCGTCTGCTTTCTTTAATAGCGTTGTGTGTGGGAACGTCTTAGGAGGAACAGATGTACACTCAGACAGTGAAGGAAAATAGGACAGCAGCGTTATATATCTTGTCTGATGTTGACGTCAAACTGAGCAGCAGTTAGACCAGAATTATTACACGCTTGCTCTTTGCAATTTTAAACTGAAAAGAAAAAATAGAGCTTTTGAAATCTCTCATCTTCACAAAGAATCCAACATTTGGTTTACATCTATCCTCCGTAATAGATGCTCTTCTTTTCTGGACCTTCTCTCAGCCACTGGACGGCACAAACAACCCCTCACATATTCACATATTCACATATTCACATATTCACACCCATCGTGATCGTCTATAATTAAAGCCAGTATTATTTTTTCCTTTGACCCCAGCTTTCATCCAAATTGACCCCAAACTGTCACGGTGAAGTAAATGTGTGAAAGGCAAAAAAAAACAACACAAAAATCTGCTGTTTTTTAGCCGTGATTGTAGCCGTCCAAAAGAAAAGCATCCCGAATGACAGGAGCAGGAGGAGCAGGAGGAGCAGGAGGAACGCCTCGGTGTTTCTTCTTTGTAAAAGCCGGCTCGGTGTTCCACTGGGTCTCACAGTATCTAAGGCCTCCAGTCAGCCACGAAGAATTTAAAATGAATTACATTTTCAGAATTGTTTAACCATATCAACATATGCCAGTTTAATACTGGTGATCAATATTTAAAATCCAACACCAGTGTGTTGAGGTGTCAGCGTTCATATCGGGATGTTAATTATTAAAAACATGATCCAAACAACATCTTTTTCAATTTATTTGCTTTCCCGAGGAATCCCAGCTCTATTGGAAACATATTGTATTCTGACTTTACTGCAAAATCCAGGGAATATATTTTTCATCGTTACAGGAGATTAGATGCCCTCTCTCCCTGCATTTGTTTTTTTGTTGTTGCATGCATGCATCTGCCTCAGTAATGTGCTGGCTGCATGTTTGCTTGTTGTAAAAAGATGTGTGCGGTGTTAGTGCCACAGAGCTCCTCTGGCTGCTGCGAGGCTCAAGAGGGAACGCAAAGCGTCGGACTTGGGCCAGAACGCCGCTGATATTTACATATCAAACAGCTCCGACAGAGGAGAGCCGTCAGCGTGTGTGTGTGTGTGTGTGTGTGTGGGTGTGTGTGAGCAAGAGAGCTGTACAGGCAAAAAGTACCGATCAGTGATGCAAAAAGGCAGCATACCTTACCAGCCACACCGCATACGCAGACTCACACACACACACACACACACACACACCATTTATTCTATTAATCCCTGAGTGAGATGAAAATTCAGATTATATTCCCTGAGGTGCCCCTCGTTCAGAAACAGCATCAATAATGTCTAAAAAGGGAGGGGTTTGCATGTGTGTGTGTGTACATTTACATGTGTGGATATCCATGTCTCTCTCTCTCTCTCTCTCTCTCTCTCTCTCTCTCTCTCTCTGTCTTTCTTTTTATTTATTCATTATAACCAAAAACTGAAATTCAGAATTAATTTCTTTGCAAAGTATTTCTACAGTGAACACAATTTCTGCTGTCCAGTTTGCCAATTGATTTCTCATTAATGGGAATTTAGTCCTCTATCCTCGATGTAAAAATCAGCCCTAATACGTGTGTTAATGAAGTGAAATTGATATGCAGCCAGTACAGAGAATGATCCATTTTATGGACCACTGATTGTATTCAGCAGTATGGGCTGAAATGCTGTGTTGGCTTAGCAATCATTTAACAGAGATATTATCAATACTTGTACAAGTTGAAATTTATTTCAAAAAAATGTCTTGAGACTAATTCATCAGACATTCTGATATGTGTATATTTGTAGCCCCCCCCCCCGATATACATCTGGTTTGTTCCGGTCGGCCCACTGAAGAGTCCTCCTGGCTTACAGTCTCCTAACATGTTAGTCTGCATATGATCCCGTGATTGGGAATGAGCTCATCATCACAGGCTAACGCTACCCACCTCAATACACATTAGTGCATTTTTAACAGCCAATCACTGTCTGGCTCGGTGTCACATCTCTCTCTCATTCTATTCTCTCCCTCCTCGTCTTTTTCATTTTTTTTTCATTTTCCCTTTTGGCTCATGTCTCTGCAACATTAGCAGTCGATGCAAATCCGGGACAGCCAATTGATAACAAATCAATTACAGTATGTTTGGTGTGTGTGTGTGTGTGTGTGTGTGTGTGTGCGTGCGTGCGTGCGTGCGTGCGTGCGTGCGTGCGTGCGTGCGTGCGTGCGTGCGTGCGTGCGTGCGTGCGTG